AGAGGTGGGTTTTGATTATTGATTTTCTGATTAAAATCTATTCTAGCTTGAATGACGCAATATTGATTCATTAAAATCCTGAATGGATTTTTACATGTAAATTTATTTTCCCAAAACGCCAGAATCTCAGGTTAAACCCCACAAAATTTCAACAACCACCAAACAGCTAAAAACGTAAACGAGAGCAGGTACACAGATTCTGCACAAAGACGTAAACACAAAGTGCGATTTCAGCCAACAGCTCACAGATTCTGATGCATCTGCGAGTCCGCCATTGTGTTTATGTCTTTTTTGCGCTAGATTCTGGAGCTGTAGGATTTGCCTGTCTCCTAACAAAATTGACTGAATCAGCACATAAACATTGTCATGAATTCCCTCTTACTTTTGCTGTTTTGTTTCTACCATGATTTACTCACACTTACTGCACAGCTCTCTCTCTCTCTGTGTACTTCAAGAACAGTTTCCTATCTAAAAATCTCTGTTTTCTGGACTATTTGCTTTCTTATTACGCGGAAGTCTACCGTTGTTGGCCGCTGTTTTTTTGTTTTTGTTTTTTTAACTGACTTCCGACAAGAAAGTCTCATTTCTTCATTTCTGCTGTTCAATACTGAAGAAATTTAAAATTAGTCTCTAATTAATTAAACCTCTGCTCTGCTTCACTTCAGCAGCATCAGGTAATGTTTATATGTTGATTCATGGTTGTCTTCTGTTTTTGTTCTACTGCAGAATATTTTTAAGGTGATTATCTGCTGTAAAAAGCCAGGCCAGGAAAATCTCCTTTGTGTTTTTTCCTGTGTTTTATCCTCAGTTACTTTGACTCAAAGGCATCTGCTGTGATGCTCACACCTCTGACGTCTCACAAGTGTCAGCTTTCTTTTTATAGATATAAAAATATGGATATGTACTGATAAATGATGAGAATTATAATATTTCTGACTGTCTGATGCAAAATATCCCTGATTCAAATTGAATTGAATCAAATTGTGGATTGAATTGAATGGGGACCTTATGAATCGGAATCAAAACAATTCTAGAAGTCAGTGACGATGCCCAGCCTTACTGTGGAATATTTAGCTCGCCCAGGTTATAGTTCTAATGAGGTTGATGGTGTTGGTCTGTCATTTTGCTTGTGGAGGAGATTGATCCAGTTCCAGTTTTACCTGCTATTGACCCACTGAGACATTTAATATCATTTTTCATCCCTGTCTGTTAACACTTTCTCTCCCTGATTTTTGCTGTGTCTCATCAAAAGTAATAACATTTTTTTAATCTGCATTGAATGACACACTTTTCTTTTAATTCATTTCTTGCAGATTTCCTTTTTACCTTTCTTTGGCCTGAAAGGGAGTCTGGGGTCAACTAATGTTGCGGCTCAAACAACCAATGGCCGCAGCAGGCTAAACATGAGGACACAGATGACGCGCAACAATAAACACATAAAATACACTTCTTTACCATTTGCTCCTTTTATTCCACATGCAACTGTGCAATATACAAATCAGCGTCTGGGATTAACTATTAAACAAATGCACAGACTGCACAAACAAATAACTGCAACTCACAAAGAACTGCACCAATTACTATGCCAAATTACAACTTGGCCTATGGCATCAATTCTTCTTCTTGTCCTTAGCGGGCGACCAGCGGCGGTGGTCTGCCGCGCAACCAGTATGCTGCTGTAGGTGCCCCAGGTTCTCTTTTTGATCTAAGGCGATGGTACTTGCCTGCTCGAGGTCAAGTCGAAGGGCCTTCAAATCATCCTGGATTTGTTTCATCCATGTCTTCAATGGCATGGCATCAATTAGTGCATAAATATACAAAAACTATCAAGTTACAGTCAAAATACATCAAAATCATTCAAGCTGCGGTCAACAGAAAGTTTTACCTCATGCTCACCCTACCTTTCTGCTCATCAACATCAGGTGAGTGCAACCACATTTATCGTCTACCACACCCATGAGACACGCCCCACACCCGTGCACCAATACAGCTAGTCCATTTAAACCAACCCACTTAGTCAAAAAAGGAGCAACTCATATGGCTCCTACAACTAACATGGTTGAACATCCTGGATTTACAGGAGTTTTTGTTAGCAGATGCACAGTTCCTACAACAGAATCATGTTTTACCCATAGAATGTCAGTTTCTTTCTAGTGTTTTTACTGTTGCACTTATTTTAGCAATAGACCCAAAACTTTTATGCAGCTTGCGAAAGAAAAACATCAATCAATCAATTTTTATTCATATTGCACTTTTAAAAACAACTGTTGACTAAAGTACTCTACAGTAAAATAATCAGATAAAATTTTAAAGGAAAGTGAAATAAAAGATAAGAAAATAATAAGAATAAAATAATGACAGACACATACAGAATTAAAAGCCAAAGAGTAAAAATGGGTCTTTAAATGAGTTTTAAAAGTATCCAGTGTTGGAGAGGTCCTGATATTTAAAGGCAGTTTATTCCACAGTTTCAGAGCAGTCACAGCAAAAGCCCTATCTCTTCTGTGTTTTAATCTAGACCTAGGGACAACTAGAAGCATTTGGTCTGCAGACCTCAAAGATCTCGTCGGAGCATACCAATTTCAAAAGATCAGAAAGATATATAGGAGCTTGTGGAATGCTGTCATGTAGTCTATAAAACAGTTTTGTTCAGTGGCAGTCAATGTTCCCTCTAATTTTTCATGTGTCTGAGTGTGTCTTTTTCCGTGAGTTATTCTGTCTGTCCTGCTCACATCTCCAGTGGTTGTACACGTTGTCATTAACGTGGCTTCACTCCACATCAGCCACGCCGCTTTGCTAGCTAAAACACCGGTGTCGGCCTGTCGACGTTGATTAGCTGCATATATATGAATGTGAATCGCATCATTGGCTGGACTATGGGATAAGGTGGCATCGTTCTAATCCCATACTGGAGCAGACAGTCATTTGCTGACTAACACTGCAAAACAGAATTGTTAACGTATTTATTTTAATTTCAATTCAGGTTAGATTTTTTTGTGGGCAACACAGATTTTCTGTGCGCAGAGACCGTGCCAGCAGTGCGCAATTACGCAGCTTAGAGGGAACATGGGTGACGGTTACCCTGGCTGCACACTTATTTTGTCAAATACACACTGTTTATTTACATCTTCTCAGTTTCCTGTCTCTCTGTATGTTTTTTCCCCTCAAACTGCTGCTGTTAGATGTAGTGTTTGTGTGTGTGTGTGTGTGTGTGTGTGTGTGTGTGTGTGTGTGTGTGTGTGTGTGTGTGTGTGTGTGTGTGTGGTGGTAAATACATGCTCCACCAGTTCTTCAGAAACAGGAAACAGTTACTCTTATTTATACAGCAGTGGATGTGAGTCATATTTAACCCTCTGAAACATTCTGTTCACTTTCATTAAAATTAGGCAGGTTAATTAATTCTTTGTTTTTTTTATTTTCATCTTTAATCTTTTGTTGCAATGCTAGGTACCCCATAAGTTGGACATCATTTGGAAGTAGTGTTTTCAGTGGGAGAAACATTTCATCATTCATCCAAGTGACTTTTTTCAGTCTCAGCTGACTACAGGTTTCCCCCAACCTTTTTTGTATAGCCAAATTAGTTTATTGGACGCATGACCATAGACTTTTGTGAAAAGCAATGAAACTTTCTAGAGAGTACGCTCCATGTATTATGCTCAGTGGCAAATCCCTAATTTCCCTCGGGATGAATAAAGTATTCTGATTCTGATAATGACCTGCAGTTATGAACCACTCTCTGACAATAACGTGGTGCTGAAAACACTCTGTTATGATTTTTTGAGAGATCTGTATTTCCATGTTCTTTGTCTAAGGTCAAGTCTTTTGTTACCCAGATACGCACTGTCACCAGCAGGAGGAAGAACTGCTGCTTTTCTTTGCCACATCACCACATATATTGATTCTCACACACATACTCAAATAGATACTGTGCAGTTGCACTTCATGTGTGTCCTGTTATTTTTTCCCCTTGATCTCACCTTCTTGCTTTTTCCCTCAAGCTCTTGTGTGCTCATCTGTGAATGTCAGGCAGGCTTTTTCTTTTGATGTCCTCGTGGAGACCAGGCCTCCAGTCAGCCCACAATGTGTGCATCACTTTATTGAACATACGTCATTCACACTCGTTCCTACATGTACTTTTGATTAATGATAATCTTAAAGTAATCCAGCATCACTCAGGACATACCTAATGCAAACAGAATTCATTCCCATCATTTGAATGCGGCTGAACTCATAATCTCGATAATAGATTATTATTATCTCGATAATACGTTCATCAGTTCAAAGTTCATCAGTGGGTTTAAACAAATCATTGAAAGTTCAAACACAAGACATTGGTAGGTTATGACATAAAATTTAAACTATACATTAGTATTTACATGAGCTTTGCCACTTTGGAGTTATGCTGATCATTTGTTTTCTTGAACAGTGTGTATTTCCTCAAGTCTTCAATCTGCTATGCAAAGCTGACTTTTCAAGCAAAATTTGTAACAGGTTAAGTGTGTGGATTCTGTCTGTCTGTGGATTTTGGCGTGTGACTGTTTGAGGTTGTAGACAGGTGTCTTTTATACTGATAATGAGTTCAAACAGGTGCCATTAATACAGACAATGATTGGAGGACAGAGGATCAAAGGTCTGTGAGAGCCAGAAATCTTGCTTGTTTGTAGTTGACCAGATATTTATATTCCACCATAATTTGCAAATAAATTCTTTAAAAATCAGACAATATGATTCTTTTTAAGTGGGACGACTTGCACAGTTGGTGGCTGACTAAATGCTTTTTTGGCCCACTGTAGTTTCATCATCTGAGGAGCACAACATCAGTATTACATTTAAATCCAGCTAATAAACTATACCTGGCATTGCTATGAATACATTTTTTTTGCAGGTTCATATTTAGAAATGTGACAGTTTGATGCATTCTTAGTGTGTTATTGTATTTTGTAGTGATGAATCGCACAGTTGTAGATCTGGTTTTCATGAGCTTCCTGTTCCAACCCCCAAAAGCTTCAAAAGCCACAACTTGTGGTGACTCTCTTGTTCTTGCACAACTTTCTCCTCTCCACATTGCAGCTGAGCTGAGAACAGTTTGAGTGATGAATCCTCAAGATTACCCGACTGAAGACGTGCCATTGCAGGGCGTGAATTATGGTGGACTCCCTATTCAGCCTGCAGTGGTCCAGCAGACTGCTGTGAACATCAACACAGATGTACCAGTCATCATTGAATACCCGCAAGACCATATCATCTGGTCAATCTGCTGCTTTGCCTACTCAAATCCTTGTTGCCTTGGACTTGCAGCTCTCATTTATTCCATCAAGGTGAGTTTATGGTAACACATTTCAATTTCTTAGAAGTGTGTGTGTGTGTGTGGTGGGGGGGGTCAAAATAAAATGGTACAGGACAGAGCTCAGTAAAATAAAACCTAAAAAGTGAGAATAAGTTAAAAATAATCGAACAAATGGCTGACCAGAAGTAGTAATAGCAACAGAGGAAATGTCAGATATTAAAGTTTTTAAAGTGTATAAAATGTTTTCATCCTTCCAGGCCAGAGACAGGAAGGTGGTTGGAGATGTGGATGGTGCACGACGTTATGGCTCCACTGCTCGCTGTCTCAACATTATCTCCACAATCATAGTTGCCACTGTGTTCCTGGCTTTAATAATTGGGATTACTGTTCTCGCTACTACTATATTTTCACCCAGACAATATTATGGGTTTCAGTATTAAAATAAATTTTGCAACCTTCTATAACTTTTTAAATGCATCATCTGGGGGGAAAAAAAGCCATTTCACAAAAATCTTAAATGGAAGTCTTCTCTATTTCTTTACTGACAAGTTTTGTTTTCAGACTTTGTTAGTTGATGCATAAATCCTGTTAGTAAATCATTAAGAAATAAAAAGCTTCACATTTCAATAAATGTCTCTCTATTTTACTGTGCTTTACACATTTTTGACTAATTATAATTTTCTTTTCTTTTTTTAACTTTCTTTTTTCCCCCAACCGGTAACATAGTTTAATACCATGAGTGGGGAAAAGGGCAGAGTGATGTTTTCCTTCTCTGAAAATAGATAAAGTGACTATGTTTCACTCATGTGCATTTCCAAAAAATACTACAGCAGTTATAAATTTAGTTGGATCAGATTTTCAAACCAAGAAATGTCCCTGGGCCAGACATTTGAGGCCGCTTGTAAGCAACAGGTAACAATAAACTTCAAACCAATATAAAGGAACTAATAAAAGAAGTATTATTTATTCATTGTTTTGCTTTTAAAGTTGATCACATCTGAAAGTATGCACAAGAATGCATGCATTTAAATAACAAATGAATTGTAAATGAACAGAATCTGAAGTAGTAATAGTTTTTTTTTTTAATTTAAAAACCAATAAACTTTGCCCATATCGGACATCTGAATGTGCACAACATTAATGATTAAATCATATCAAAGCCATCACTGCAGAAACTCGTTACATTATACACACAAATATAACAATTACATCGTCACCCTGATGGAACATAATTTTAATTTTAAGGCAGGCATGGCTTGTTACTCATCCAGTAATATTCAATTTTATTTGTTGTAGCCTACATATATGTTGACATATAATTACTCTGTTGACATTAGTGGGAGAAGTTATTTATCCATTTTTTATTCTGTGCATTGAATGGGAGCTGATTTTTTTATTGAATGTGTGAAAAACCTGAATCACATTTTTACGTTGATCCAAACACACTGAGCATGACTGCAACTTTGGCAAGGCAAGGCAAGGCAAGTTTATTTGTATAGCACAATTCAACAACAAGGTGATTCAAAGTGCTTTACAGAGACATTAGAAACAAAAACAAATAAAAAGCATGATTTAAAATTGATTAAAACAATCAAACAAACAAACTAACTAATTAACAAACAAACAAAACAGTATATAAAATCAAAACAGATAAAATCAGAACAGTAGATAAAATCAGTAGTTAAAATGTTAGTTTTGAAATTTAAGCTTAAAAGTGTGGATTTGGTGCTTTATTCAAATGCAGCTGAGAACAGGTGAGTCTTCAACCTGGATTTAAATAAACTGAGTGTTTCAGCTGATCTGAGGCTTTCTGGGATGTCCTGGAAGGTTCATACTGGGTCAGGAGGTCACTGATGTATTTTGGTCCTAAACCATTCAGAGCTTTATAGACCAGCATCAGAACTTTAAAGTCTATCCTCTGACGGACAGGCAGCCAGTGTAAAGACCTCAGAGCTGGACTGATGTGGTCCACTTTTTTGGTCTTAGTGAGGACTCGAGCAGCAGAGTTCTGAATGAGCTGTAGTTGTCTGACTGATTTTTTTAGGTAGACCTGTAAAGATGCTGTTACAGTAATCAAGCCTACTAAAGATGAATGCATGGACTAGTTTTTCCAGGTCCTGTTGAGACATCAGATCTTTTATCCTTGAAATATTCTTGAGGTGATAGTAAGCTGATTTTGTTATTGTCTTAATGTGTTTTTCTAAGTTTAGGTCTGCATCCATCACTACACCCAAATTTCTCGCCTGGTTTGTGGTTTTTAGGTGTATAGATTGAAGTTCTCTGGTGACCTGTAATCGTTTTTCTTTGGCGCCAAAGACTATTACTCTCAGTTTTGTTTTTGTTTAGCTGGAGAAAATTGTGGCACAACCAGTCATTAATTTCCTCAATGCATTTACCAAGAGCCTGTACAGCCCCTCGGTCTCCTGGTGACATTGTGATATATATTTGTATGTCATCTGCATAGCTGTGGTAGTTTATTTTGTTGTTCTTTATAATCTGTGCCAGTGGGAGCATGTAAATGTTAAACAGAGGGGGTCCCAAGATGGAACCTTGGGGAACTCCACATGTGATACTTGTCTGCTCGGATGTGAAATTACCTATTGATACAAAGTATTTCCTGTTTTCTAAGTATGTTTTGAACCAGTTTAGTACAGTTCCTGAAAGACCTGCCCAGTTCTCCAGTCGTTTGAGTAATATGTTGTGGTCAACTGTATCAAATAAGGGGAATGATGTACCGTATTTTCACGACCATAAGGCGCACTGTGCTAAAAGGCGCAGTCTCAGTTATGTGTGCCCTTACTGTATTTAACACACACATAAGGCGCACTGGACCATAGGGCGCATACAAGTACCGTATGCGTATTTAAAAATAAAGCGGGAGCAAACCTGAATTCGGTACCTTACTCACATTTCTATTGCCGGTAATCGTCATCATCAACAACACACAAGCATACAAGTGTGCATATTTAAAAATAAAGCAGGAGCAAAACAAAGTTTGGTACTCACATTTTTATCATCAATCAAACCCATCGAAGTCCTCATCCTCTGTGTCTGAATTGAACAGCTGCGCTAAATCTCCATCAAACATGCCAGGTTCACTGTCTTCACCGTCAGAGTCACTTTCCGTGCCGTGCGGCTCCTCGGAAAGATGCCGGCTTTTGCGAAAGCTCGAACAACAGTGCCAGCAGACATGTTAGCCCAAGCATCTACAATCCATTGGCAAATTGTGGCGTAACTCGCCCGGCGCTGCCTTCCACTCTTAGTGAAACTGTGGTCTCCACCGGTCATCCATCGCTCCCAGGCCGCTCGCAGCCTTACTTTGAACGGGCGGTTCACACCGATGTCCAGCGGTTGGAGTTCCTTTGTCAGGCCTCCCGGAATGACAGCAAGCTCACAGTTCATTTGCTTCACAAGTTTTTTCACATCGGCTGTGAGATGGGCACGCATAGAGTCACAGATTAAGAGCGATGGTGATGCGTGGAAAAAACCACCTGGTCTCCTTACATACACCTCCCTCAGCCACTCTTTCATCATTTCCTCATCCATCCAGCCCTTTTCATTTGCCTTAATGATGATTCCTGCTGGAAACTTCTCTTTAGGCAAAGTCTTTCGCTTAAAAATCACCATAGGCGGCAGTTTCTGTCCATTAGCATGGCAGCCAAGCACAACAGTAAAAGAAGACTTTTCATACCCCGTTGTGCGTATCGCTACCGTGCTGGTCCCCTTCTTCTCCACAGTGTGACTCACCGGGATGTCAAAAGTGAGCGGGACCTCGTCCATGTTTGTGATGTGGCTGGGCTGGATGTTTTTGTCGCCGATGTGTTTGCTGCAGTAGGAGCGGAAGATGGCCAGCTTTTCCTTATAATCCGCTGGAAGTTGCTGCGCTACCGTAGTCCCGGTCCTGATGGAAAAATGGCACCGTTTCATAAAAAGTGAAAGTGAAACTGCTTTTAGCCGAATGGTGACCGTCGAAACGCTTCTCCCGCTCGCTCTTTGCTCGATGATCCACCGCTCGAGTCTTTCCTCCAACTCGAGCCACCTCGCCTTATGTCCGCGGAAACTCAGCTGCGTTTTCTTGACCTGCCGGAGCTTGTTTTCCAGCTTCCTCCATTTGCGAACCATCGATTCGTTAATCTTAAATTCTCTCGCCGCTGCTCGATTTCCATGTTCCTCCGCGTAGCTGATGGCCTTCAGTTTAAACTGTGCTTCGTAAGCGTGTCTCTTTGCCATTTTCAGGGTTGTTAAAACAACGATGTCCTGCATAATGCACATACCTGTTCTTTTATACAGGTATGTGCGATTGTCCCGGTATATACGATCAACGCCCACACTTCACCCTTTAACGTTCTCATGGTGTTCTCTACTACGTCCTCCTTACAACACATAGGGCGCACCGCGCTATAGGGCGGCCGCACTTTTTGAAGAAAATCTAAGACTTTTAAGTGCGCCTTATGGTCGTGAAAATACGGTATGTTAATCTCAGTCCTATGTCAGCAAGTTTGAGTAGGTTGTGAATGTCATCTCCTTCACCTTCGTGGGCAGAGCAAGTCCAACTCATTGACCACAAGCATTCTCTTTTCAGATGTTTGAATAGATTACTCAGAAAGTAGACACTGACTGTGGAGCTGTATTTGTTTTTTGGGGGGGTCTTGCCTGCTGTTGAGCAGGAACATTGTGATCTCCTCTTTAAGATCACAAAAACACTCAAGCATGCAACCTTTACGCAGACTGTTGTGAAATGTGGAGCAAAGAGAGACTGAAGTCCCCCTGACTGCCCCTTGTCATCACAGCTGAGGGAATAAAAGGACTTGAAAAGCAGCCTTGTGTTAATAATGTGTTGAAAGTGGTCAGCGTGCAAAAACAGAGCTTTTCCCAATCTGCTCGTAAGGATTAGATATAAGTCTGATTATATGTTAGCAGAGAGATCCGAGTAGTGAAAATTTCTGTGCAGTCTATTCTAGTTTTTGTGTGTAGACATGATCCACTATTGACCTGTTTAGTCATTCTGAGTTTGAGAAGATACAAACTGTGTTGCCTACCCATGATTGTACTTTTGAGAAGGAAAAATAGTGTTAAATGTTGTAAGAGTTAAACACAGAATTATGATTCATATGATATTTTTGCTGATAGTTAATTATGCTCATACTGATCAGAACATAATCAGTAAATAGAAAGATATTTGAGTTTGGCTAAAATAATTGTGATATCATGTGCAATAGGAAATCATGGAGACTATGTCGACCTCACAGTCACTCCTTTATTTACACCACTGGGGCATGCACAACAAAAACCGACACTGCTCTCCAAAAACTGTTGCCCCCTGAATAAGTATTCTTCACTCACAGACTGCAACATCAGTTCCAGTTTCCAGCTGATATCTCAGTTTGTTACTATCACAGCTGATGGTTGATGGTGATGGGGAGTGGGTCCTCAGTGGATCAGGCTTGGTCAAGTGTGTTCCATGGATTCTTGATTGGATTTTGATCTT